TTAAAAACTGGCTAGAAGGTCACAGACAGAGGTTACCCATTTTCAAAAAGTGCAGGTCATCGTAAAATAAAGACAAATTATAATTTAAAATTGTTTATAATATCTATAACGCTAATTTTTGGGGACAATAACACAAAAATCGTAAATGCCAAGGACAACTGACCCTCCAAAAGTGTCAGTTATTGTAAAATTTTATCTAACGTAGTTTCAAGAGGCAGATCTGCAGTGAATAATTTTCTTTTAAACACAAAATCCCGATAAAACCACACGATGGACAGGTTTGGGCCGTTTACAAAGCAGAACATCTCCCAAGGAAAACAGTCCGCAACCGAGCGAAGGTCTTGGCATGGGGAATGACGAGCGCTTGGAATTTGCAAAATTTGCACAATGTGTCTGAGAAACAGACGTCCGACACATTCTGCTACCATATGATGCGAAAAATTTACTCCTGGCACTTCCCGTTTGTTCAGGACTGGGGTCGTTTTGAAAAGGAAAATGGCGCTTGGGATGTCGGCGCCAGTCATTCATGAAGGAGTTAGCGCCAGAGAATGCCTACAAAATACTCAAGAATGGTGTCGATGCAAGTTGTCGGCTTTCAGGGAAAATCAGATGTTGCCGGGGAGCTAGTCAAAACTAAATCCGACGCAGAAACTGCAGGGGATTCCCCTGCAAGAGCTTGAAAGCTGGTAACCTTTTATCAGCCTCCGGCAGCTGACGGAGCAACAAAAATCGGCATGGGCAAATATTTTTGGAGATACAGCAAAGGGGTTGGTTTCCAACCTTCTTAATCAGTTGTAAAAGCATGCATATTTGTCTAGTGTACACACAGACACCAAAACCTTATACTTTTGGCCGGTTCTTATATGCTTTATTGGTATGGGAAATGTGTGAACGAACTTTTGAGACACCCTGTAAGTCATGCAATGGAAGAAAATTGAAAAGCGTCTGTTTTGCACGAACGCTTTTCTAGATACTTTCAAACATCGAGATGAAGGTAGGTAAAATTGACACACTGAACCAGAAAATGGCAACTGTGACCCCTCGTTATGTCCCCGAGGTCTTTTTATAGGTCTATTTATAGTCACCGTGCCCGAGGTCATCTCAGGTTACCAGTTTTTCGCTAATAACTTCTGATAGAGGCGTGCTAAAGCGCTGAAAACGTCATAGATGTGTTCGGCTCGACGTTGCAGATCGACTGATATGCAACATGACCTTTTCCGGTCAGCTCATGACCTTGACCTGAGGTCAAATTTTCAGGTTGACCTTTCAAGGTCAAATTATAGTTCATTCGACGCGTCTCGACGAGAGGAGCACGATGCTGGTAAAAGTAATGTCATGGCTCTTTGGAGTCAAAAGTTATTGCCGAACAAACGCTTTTCGTAAAAACGGCTATTTTTGGATTTTTTGCCCTCTGGAGGCTAAACCGTTGACCTGAGGTCAAATCTGAGAACATTACTCAGAAAGGTCTGTAAAAGGGCTATCGAATGCGCTTTTCCGCGGCGCTGTAGCTCTATCGGTTCCCGAGATAGCCGTCGGCAGTTTCCAAAATGTTGAAATAGTCAACATTTTACCTTTGGTGACCTCTGGTGACCTGACCTTTGACCTGACCCAAAAAATGACTGAAGTGTTTTCGTCCTTATTTTGGACGTTCTTTCGATTGCCGCTTACCGCGTGTCGCTACGTGGCCCAGGAGCCGAGTTACAAGGGGCGGGTGTTCAGACACCCCTCCCCCCCCGGCCCAGCGCGGAATCTCAGAGCACCGGCCCGGCGCGGGCCGGTGGAGAGCCACGAGTCACGACATTGCTTTTGGCAGCATCGTGTTCCTCTCGTCGCGACCCGTCGAATAAACTATTTGTTGACTTTGAAAGGTCATTTTGAAAATTTGACCTCAGGTCAAGGTCATGACCTGACCGGAAAGGGTCATGCTGCATATCAGTCGATCCGTATCGTCGAGCTTAACACATCTGACGTGTTTTCACCGCTCTGGCAAGTCTCTATCAAACCTGAACGCAAGATGCTCGCTCATTCATCTTACGACCGTCAATTTTGAAGGTTTTCCCTCCCCGCTACCTTAGAACCGGCTTATTCTGGAGCAGTATAGTGGCGGCGCTGGCTTTTTGGAAGGGGCCCCGACGTGGGTGGGGGTGGGGCAATCGCCACATCTTGCATACCCTGCGAAAATTTAAATCCGCGGTACCTGCCGAGTGCCGACTTCACATGACACATCCATTCTCAGAAAAACAGCTCCATTTTCCCGACACCAAAATCTCATCGGATCTGTATCGATCTCAGGGGAGTGCCGGGTCGGAGGTTTGAGGAGGGGAGGGGGTGAATTTCCCCGTTTGCCCACCCCCGCGTGGTGATGGTAATGCTTCACTATAATCTCAAGTCCGTGTCACGTTTTGACTGGAGGGGGATGTTGGCCACTGGCGGGGGGGGGGGGGGGCAATCCGCTCAACTGGGGAGGCAATTCCCTCCCCCCCCCCCCAGTAAACATGTTAGACGAGGCCCTGCTATGGCCCCTATGCTCCCCCCCGGATCCGCCCTTGGTGCTAAAACAATAGTCGCGAATCTACATGTGGATTGTTGCAAGCTTGGGTAGGTATGTATGTACAGTGGATCTAGTAAGGATCTCCAGACGCAACTAGATGGCGTTGAGCCTCAGTCGAGTCCATGTGAGATTCAAGGAGAGGTCACTACCGAGCTGAGCCCGTTGGGGAGGTGGGCGGAGGGGGGGGGGGGGCGGTTGGCGAGGTCACGGTGCGGGTGACCTGTCAAACAGCCCCGGCGCGGTGGGGCACTGCCGCAGGCAAATGGCGCACTCCAGCGTTGTTCCATATCGCGGTGGTGGACCGGGCGGCCGGTTAGCTTGGCAGTTGGCTGCTTGGAAGGAAAGGATAATGAGGCATGGGTTTGCTGTGGCCGGCTCATCTACTGTCAACTATGGTGAACCCAAAGTAATGCAAATGTGATGTTGGTAATGCAGCTGGCAATGGAATGCTAGCGAATGCTCCGGGCGCCCAGTAGCTATAAGGATTAAGATTATTTATGTCTCCTGAAATGTTCATTGAATATAATTCAAGCAATAGAAACATCGTATCGTTCGCCAGTTTTTTGACCGGCTGGTGTTTCATGCGTATAACGCCCTTTGGCAAATAGGTAATTATCACGCAGGTGATTTTTTTTTTTTTTGGCTGGTAAGACAAAAGGTCAAATCAAGTCGCTAAGAGAAGATGAGGAAAAGTGAACGAATGCCACATTTTTGTGCATGAAGTCTGGAGTTAAAAAGCTAAAAGTTATGCGTGTAAGCTAAAAACAATAAGATCAGTTAATAAAAATATTTGACCCGAAATTAGCCTCTGTTTTGTCTGACCACGATTGCGTGTAAGACACCGGTCCAACCGGGTTCAACCCGGCCCAACCTGGTTCGGCTCCCCCTTTTTTTTAATATAAATTTGGCCCGGACCTTTTGAAAGAAAGGAATCACAAGGAGACAAAGTCCCCGCTAAGCTGAGCTTGTTGCGTTGACCCTGCTCTCTACCCTCCGATCAAGCAATTCCTGGTCTACGGCAGAATTTAGAGTCCAAATTTTAACGTGCGCACATAGCCGCGCACGGCCGGTCCCCTCACTGACTTCGCCTGGCAGCGGCCTGCCACCAACCACAGCCATACCCGTCAGGAGCCGCCCAAAAACGTCAAGCACACGCCGCGTTTCGAACCCGGACTTTTTCAACCGGGACGTGCGCTCTCACCATATGGCACATGGAGTCCAACGCTCTACCGACCGAGCTACCGGGACGGACATTTACCTTGGGGTCTCGCCTCGTGACATTGACAGACGTCAGACACCTTGGCCGAACTTTAGCCGAAACACTGAGTAAGCTGCGCAGGGCGGTAGGTGCTCGTAGTGTTGAGGTTGGGTAACCTGTGAGCTGAATGCGATGTCGTGAGTTCGAGCCCCACTCCCGAGTCCGTTTTTATCTAGACACGAACCAAAACCTTTCCTTCTACTGCAACACAGATAAGCACGATGACATATTTCCCCAATATCTTTCCCCGTTATCCTCTCCAAAAGTCAAAATTATCGCTTATCAATGTTCAGCTGAGTTTCATTTTTAAAGAAAAATATTTTTGGTCATTTGTCTGGAGCCGTTTCAACATTTTTCTTTTATGCTTCTTTTCGACCCGATAAAACCCACCAAAACTGAACGTGCCAAATGAAAAATATCTAACTCAAATACCAGTTTGGAAAAGCCTCATCATGCATCATGAAAAGCATCATGCAACTATCGACTGAATAGTTGCATGCTATGAATACGTCCTAGATTTCAATTATCATTGTTCAACATTTTGGCTGGAACTGACGGTGCCTCTGGCTTGCCCGTTTGTTTGAGATAATGATTCCCTTCAGTCGCATTCTTGCCGGTTCCACATGAACAGGATACCACCATACCGGAGTGAACGCACCCGCAACCATCATCCCCTCCCCTCAGCCTCGGCGCAGTGGCGGGCGGCGCGGCCCTGCCCGGCGCTACGCACGCCCTATGCGCCGTGATACCGCGTCACTCCCCCTCCCTCCTTCCCCCACAATGACCGGTGACCTCACTTCCCTCGGGATTTGGACTCGCCCTACCCCGACCGTAGCGCCACGTGGTGGCTCTGGAGATCTTAAATAGACCCACTGTACATACATACCTATAGGCTATCGGCTATAGCTCCACCACTATACGCTCCGCCCGTGATTTTGCAATAGATGCCAATGGTGCTTTACAATTTACAAAATTATGCTTTCTTAATCTTCCAAGAGCACTGCATCGAAAGTATCGCAAAATAAATGAGTTGAACGCTCGTCAAAAATATTATGTAAACCGGGTTAAGATTCCTTTACGGCCTTCTGCTAAGAAATTTGGGATCTGGTAGCCCACTTACTTATCAATATGGTAGCTCTAAACAAGACGAACGCGGCGCAGTATCGCGCAGTGTGTGTCTCAAGTTTCTGTTGCCTCGTGAAGGCCGAAGAAATTCAAATTTGGAAGAAATTCCAATTTGATTTATGATTGCTTTGATACAAGTCGTGGGTACTGAGTGGTGGGCTCAGGGCTGATATTCGGCTTTTTTCATGGTTTTTGAGTGGTCGCATTTCACACCCACCTTTTGGCTAGAGCGAGCCTGCTACAGTACTCAGGTGCATTATAGTCTTGAGCTGAAGTGAAAGTCAAGAACAAATTCAGCAACAACTTGAAATCGGAATTTACTATCAATGCTCTAGCACACTCTTCGCCCTTGAGAAGTGAATAGGGCCTTTGAACTCTGTTGAAAGGTAAGCTATGTAGCAACATGTTGATATTTCAGTAGGCGGAACTATGGTCAAGCGTAGGTACCCATTTTCAGTCGGGCGCACTATGGTATCGGCAGTCCATTTATAGAAACGTTTCTATTTTTGGAAGAAAGTTCCAAAAATGGAAACGCTAAAAACCATCTGTTCCAATAATGGAAACGCTCCGTTTCTATTTTCGGAAACGCAAGGAGCACATAAACCTGTTCGGTAGTTTCCGCAATAAACCATAGATTTCCGCATCAAACAAAGACCACCAATCAAAAGACCGCATTTCGCTTCATAATTCCAACGTTGAACAGAAAAATCGGCTGTTGAACAGGCTTGCACGGACCACTTCCTTTTGTAAACAATAAAATTTTTCATGATAGGTGAACTTTTATGTGTCATTAATGAAATACACCTCATTTTTTTGTGGAAAAATTTGATTTTCACAAGAATGGCATTGTTTAAATTGACAGACTTGCTGTCTGGTATTCATTAATATTTTACATTGCTGTAAAGCAAGCCCTGAATGGCGTGTTGGTGACCACGTGCGGAGATCGTCTCTCCGGCTTTGGAAGGCGGCAAGTTGGAAAATATTTCGTACAGATGCTTCTAAGTGGGCAAACTGAACTTCTTAGCACCCATTTAACTGACGAATGTGTGAAAGTTGGTAGAATGTATGTAAATAATTGCATTAAAGGTCTGATATGTTACTGCTTGTCGGAAGCGATCTAAGCTGTCGTCCAGTTTTAAATGATTCAATTATATGAAAAAGCGATGACAAGGTGTTATAAACAATTTCTATGGATAGGGAAATGCTCAAACTGTACTAATTGCCCACTTTGCACCGTATTAGTTCAGTAGGCCTTCAGTTAGTGCCTGTGTAAGGCCCATTGAATAATGCTTTATGAAGCACAGTTTCCATTTTTGGAACAAATGACGAATTTTAACTCAAGCTGTACATACAGCTCACGGATGCAGTAGGTTATAAGTATTTCAACTCTTATTTGCATTTAATGTTTTTAGAAGCACTTTCTGCCTTTCTCATTTCTAATAATCCACGAGAAGGTTGGAAAAGGTGCACGCTCCGACAGCATGAAATGCGAACCGGAGCTTCTGAACCGGCCTGATTAGGCCGAAGTTAAACTCCAACCTTACTTATAAAGCCTTGCTTTTCTTGGGAAGCCAGAGTCTGTTAACCACAATTCAGGGCACATCGCGACGCTTACTGCAGTCACGCATGCATGCTTGCAACAGTTAAAATATGTTATAATGTGGGTTTCGTAAGCAGTAGCAGCTTAGTAGGCAAGACGGTTGGACAGTTCTGGGGTTTATGTAAGTGCATAGAAATTGGGGACTTTCACCAGAAGACACATTTCCGTAAGCATTATTGTACCAACATCGGCTTTCGGGCACTATTCCCAAGCAATTGGAGGACCATTCATACGAAATTTAGATGCAAAGGGAAATCACCCATATCAGAACATGTACCGGCATCAATAGCTCGGCAATTACTTAGAGGGCGTGGGGTAGACAGGCCCACATATCAATAATATGGTGCTTATGCCTTTTCCTGTGTTGGCTCATAGTTTCCATTTTTGGAACCTTCCGTTTCCAAAAATGGAACGTTGACAAGGGTTTGCGTCAGGGCATCAGATTCGCCATTTGCGCACGAAAATATTGTTGGGTTTTACTGTTTTGGGAGAAAACATATCGACGAAAAGACACGCCAGCTGAAAAGATTACTATTAACTTAAGAAATACAGAAATATGCCTGCTTAAAAATTGGCGTTTCTAATTTTGGAACTGGCGTTTCCATAAATGGAACAAAGTGCCTTCCAAATTTGGAAACGTTTCCATTAATAGATACGTATCCATAAATGGACTGCCGATACCATAGTGCGCCCGACTGTTTTCGGGAACGCATTTTGTTCCCATGTTTGGGAACGATAAATTCAAATATGGGAACGCCATGTAGGCATTATTTAAAACAAGAAAAAGAACCGGCGGTACACATGGAGGTCCCCGCTTCAAAATTAGTTAATCCCTATAATATAGACATCATTCTATAGAGAAACTCGTGTTTAGTAAGAATAATGTGGTTTCCAGTTATCTGATCGATAATTTTAAGACCAAAAGCTAACTAATCGTATTCTTACCACGATTTCGGTGGAGCCGCACGACGGTCTGTTGTCAACATGTCAATTGTTGTTAAATACCATTACACAGAAATGTAGTATCTTCATAAAACCCAACACACTAGGGGAACTGTGGGAAACCGGGGTTTTGGGTGGGGGGTGGGGGTACTATTTTTATGAAAAAGTGATAGATATACACAAATAATTTTGGAATTACGGTTCTGTATTTTTAATTTTTAATAGAAGAGAATTCGGTAATTTTCTTTTTCGGTAAAGCGCCTCACGAGATGCGCCAGATCTGTCGACGAATGATAGCGACTTTTCTGAAAAAGTCTTCAGAAATGTTTCGTTCGTAAATATTTTCGTTCGTGTATTTTCTTTATTTTCGTTTTTTGGTCCGTGCATTTTTTGTCTGTACATATTTTCATTCTTCGTCCAACATTTCTTCGCCTGTACTGTACATGTTTTCGTCTGTGGCCAACTCGTGGCGAAGCAGTGCAGTGCCGAAGGCAATGCCTTAGGAGAGATTACAGGCAATAGTAAATCAAATATTTTTAGGTTAAATGGTTATGTATCTGGCTTCAGGCCGAAGGCCTGAAGCCTGATGCATGACCACTTAACCTGAAAATATTTGATTTACTATTGCCTGCAATCTATTCCTGCAAGTAACTATTTCCTTATCCGGTAGGCAAAAATCAGTAGGTTAGGTTAGGTTAGGTTAGGTTAGGTTAGGTTAGGATTCCCGGTAGGCAAGAATCAGTAGGTTAGGTTAGGTTAGGTTAGGTTAGGTTAGGTTTCTTAATGCCTGGTAGGCAAAAATCAGTAGGTTAGGTTAGGTTAGGTTAGGTTAGGTTAGGTTAGGTTAGGTTAGGTTAGGTTAGGATTCCCGGTAGGCAAGAATCAGTAGGTTAGGTTAGGTTAGGTTAGGTTAGGTTTCTTTATGCCTGGTGGGCAAAATCAGTAGGTTAGGTTAGGTTTCTGCTCGGTAGGCAAAAATCAGTAGGTTAGGTTAGGTTAGGTTAGGTTAGGTTAGGTTAGGTTAGGACACCTCTTTGAATTTCATCAACTATCAAGTAATAATCGCTTTTCTCAAATTTAAAGTTGTCCGCGCTTTAGACATAACGATTTGAGAACCTTGGTATTGTTTGTCATTTCTGGCTGCGATAAAAAATTGTGCACGCGAAACGCATCTGATATTTTTGCAGCCTTGATTGTTTATAAATTGTGTTCATCCGCCGTAACCAGCATGGCGTCAGCGTCGGTTGCGAGGGGTGAGGTATGTGGTGTTTTGGGGTCAATTTTGCCAGCTTTAAATGGTAAGCTGTTGCATTTTACTGGCAGGGAATGTTAGATAGTTGGATTATAGCATGTTGTGATACTAATTGGATTCATATAATTAAAACGAAAACGCTTGGGGACCTCCGTGTTTCCGACCAAAGAACCGTTAAATGACGTCCAAAAGATATAAAACGATCGTGAACCGCCTGATATTTGTCTCAATATTGTTGGGAAAGAGTTTGATATCAATATTGTAAGGCCCATCGTAGTTTCAAATCGTTCCCCTATTTCTAAAGCAGTCCATCATCCGGGCCGCGAGCCCAAATTTGGGAACGCTCTCGTACACTGGCGCTGCAAGCGTTCCTTATTATGGGAACGGCGTACCCAAAATTGGGAACGATTTCACCGACGCCTTTCAGGGGCTCTTTTCATTAACAAGCATCACGTCCAACGCCGCAAAATTATTGTTAACGCAACAATCATCAGATGACCTTTCCGGCAAGACCGTCGCATGTTTCGCCCGGTCTTCTGCGCTTTTATTCCCCTCGATCTCGCTGCGGGCACGCCCCCCTCTGCAGGATTACGTAATTCACAACGCTCAGCGATGTTCAACAAGGTCTTCCATACCTATATCCACCGTCCGTGCCGAGGGTGGAGACATGTCAAGCACCTGTCTGTTTATCACCAATAGTTGATGAGTACAAGGAAGTATCCAAAAATGGGAACGCTGAATATGTTACGCCCTCAAAACACCTAGTCCCAATGAAAATCTAGTTTTTTTCCTTTCTTAATGAGTGTAAGTGGCAAAAGGCCTGGTAGGATGGGCACGAGGGATGATCGAAATCAGCATAGAAATTATAAATAAGCCACACAGAGCGACCTATATAAGAGAAATTCCCCCAAAACGATCATGCTTAGAAACACGGAAGACAAAAACCACGCTCATTGGCCATTCTTATAAAGAAAAGAACGGAGGGACGCTCCGTCATTTCTGAGATTAGACGGAATTTGGTTATCATAAAAGGACGAAGACGAAAGACGGAACCCGTTAAAAGAACGAAGCCAGATTGACGCTACCCCCACCCAAAAGGACGCGTTTCCGTATCATAAAGAGACAAAGGCGCCTCTGGTGACGTAAGACTTTGCGTTGTTCGTGAAAAATAACGCATCAGAAATAGCGCTGCTCTTCAGCAGCGCTTTTTTACGGCATTGATACGATATTTAGCTAGTTGCGAGAGCAACTTGTGCGAAATGTGTTTCAGGCTGCGTGCTAATCGATATGTGAACTGTATGACATTGGTCGGGAGTTATTTCACACGAAAATTAGTCAATTTCACATGCAGACCAAGTACCTATAGACCGCCACCTTATCGTTCTGCAGCTATCGTTGTTTATCGGGCATACACATTAACAGGCAGGATTGGACACCTTGAGATGCAATATCCAGTAAGTGGTAGGTGTTTACTGTTTGCAACTGCCTCCCAGTAGCTCCACCCTCACCTGGCCTGTGTCCTGTGTCCTCTGGCGCCTCGACTGGTATCACGGTTGGAGGTCTGAGTCACGTGGCACTACAACTTCTCGTTA